AGTGCACAAGTCATTTGAACTAGTTTGTGTCTGTTTTTGGAGCTGGAAAGAGCTGCATATAAATCTGTTTGCACATACAGGTTTGAAGCAAGCAATGACAGCACTTCATATTTGAGTAAGCTATTCTTTTTCGATTCAATCTGAATGGCTTTTCATTTTATCTACTGTAAGCATGCACTTAGAGATACTGTATAACCTCTCCGTCAATGTGCGTCTGATCATTTAGTAAAGTAGCAGCATGTCTCTCCTCAACGAGACATATGATTTGAGGAATCATTCATGAACGAATCAAGCCCGCCAAAGAGGCTGCAAAAATGTGCATTTATCAAACCTTTTGCCAGCCTCTGAAACCCGTTAAGGTTTGGGAGAATTCCCAGACACACATTTACATCTCCTCCTCCTCCTCACAAATGAGATCTTTACAGAGACTGCGGTGGCTCAGACTCTTCCGGATGATTCACATTGTGGCACGCATTACAGAACGCATGGCTGATTTTATTCTGGATGACAGCTGGCTCTTCCCATTGGGCCACAATGGATGCAGGACAGGACATGACAACATCGGTAATGACAGCGGCGGCTTGTGTCCATCTGTTATGAGGAGAAAAGGGCATTAAAACTTAAAGCCTTTTCAAGACACACGGTAATTAATTAAACATGTGCGACTGGCATCCTTAGTTACCACGGAAACCATCCAGGTGCAATTAGTCACAAAAGCTAATTTGGGTAAACAACAACTTCAAAGAACAAGAACTTCACGCGCCTGCCTGAGCGAATACAAATGTGCTTTACTCTACGAATATTTCCTAAAGCAGCAAAAAGCAAGACAAATGTGCACCTCAAACCCAGTCTGTGTTTCATGCATCTGGAGTGTAATCAGCTTTATTCACAAACATAAACAGTTTACAGTCCCTTGTGAAAAAGAATTTAAAGTGCACTCGTAGTACTTTTTTATTTATTTATTTTTTACAAATTGTACTTGCAAATAATATAATATTAATGAAATTAAAGGCCACTTAAGTGACTTAAAGACTCTTTCATGATTATGTTTGACGTTATTACAAAGTGCACAAATTAAAAATTGTATTCTAAATTTGTCATACTTTAAAGTACACTTAGTTTGATGTGTTTAACTAACATACTAAAGCACATGTAAAGTACTTGATTATTTTAATTATAATTTGAACTCTAGTGTGTTGTTTTATATTACGTTTAAAGTTATGATATTTTAAATGTGCTAATTTGCAACTTAATCATTACAAATGTGTAATTACAAATATATTTAAATGCATGACATACAAGTTTAATTAGAAATTATGTCATGAAAGTATATTTTAGTTTAGTATAAATGCTTGTCAGTACATTCAGCAGTACACTTTAACCATATTTCAAAGACAATAGAAGTAAACATGGAATTACATACAGTATAAAGATGCACTTAAGTCCTGCTTAAGTGGGGTTAAAGTGCAATTAATTTAATTCAGTTTCATTTTATTGCAATCAGCATGCAATTAAGTGTATTCTTATATTTTTTAATATAAGTGATGCAATAAAGTGTACTTTTTCACAAGGGTTATCTAGACAGTATTTTGAGGCTTCATAGATGTACTCTTAATGCAAAGGTAGGCAAAAACATTATGCAGTCTTCTAATACACCTCATTTAAGCAGCATCACTTATAAGAAAGCAATCCTAGAATGCACTCTGTAACAAAATTTTCATGCAAAACTAAAAACGAGTCACAATAAAATGTCAGCTATTTATGCTCATGTTAATAAAAATGGACTATTTGACACAATATTTGCACTTAATTAGCATATATTAATGGACATTATTAGAGAACTTTATCAGCTAAGCTAACATGAAACTCCACTGGAATCACAAATCCAGTTTTTGTGTGGCATCTGGAGCGGCAGCTTCGTTTCAAATGAGTCACTTATGTGGCTAGCAAGGTAGCAAGTGAGGTGCTGACAGCAGAGCTAGTGTCTCTGTTCGACATGTTTAATTAACTCCTTGTCTGATTCAGTAATTTAGCCCGTAGTGAGACCTGTGACCCCCTCTGATATGCAAAAACCTCGCCTGACCTGCCAGAATGAGCCACGCAGATCGGTCAGATGGGACAGACAGAGAGACGCGCTAACCTTCAGCGCCGCTGTCAGGCACAGGAGCCCTGCTCTCAGCGGGACCTTTTTCTCAAGCAATTACACCTGTTCATTCGTTCCTGCACCCAGCTGCTCTTTATCTCTGCCTCTTTGGCAGTGAGACTCTTTGTCGGTGATCATTGATCGTCTATCTCGGCCGGTCAGGCTTCAGCTGGTTAGTTTCAGCAGGTAGCAGTGATTATTTTTTGGAGGCTCTTATATTTGTCCTGTCTAGGGTGTCACAGCTCAGGATAGTCACTAGTGAAGGGTTTAGTGTCTCATTTTTTGGTTCCCATGCAGACTCTGGATTAATGCTGACAGCGCAGCTGAACATCTTTATAATTCCACCGTTAATGGGAGCCATGAAACCAGACTGATGCTCCAGTCACAGTGAAATGCTCGCTCTTTCTCACGTCCCCCTCCTGCCCTTGTGAAAAAAAAGTGTGCTTAGTTTTATAGAATGTGCACTTGTAGTGTACTTCAAATCTTAAAAGTACAGATATGATATAAATGAAATCAAAGGCAGCTTAAGTGTACTTTAAAAAAGTACATTTTCATATGTTTCTTAACACATTTGGTCATGTTTTAAAGAAACACACTTACAGTATTTGGATGTGTTGACTAACATACTAATACACATGTTAAGATTATTATAGTATCGGTCACACTGTAGTTTGGGGATCATTTTTCTAACTATTAACTTACTATTAACTACGACTTTTGCCTCAGTAGTTGTTAGTTTAGGTATGGGGTGGATTAAGGGATCTAAATTATGCTCATGCAGAATAATACATTAATATGCGCTTCATAAGTACTAATAAACAGCCAATAAGTTAGTGATATGTATGCTAATACGCAGCTAGTTAATAGTGAGAATTGGTCCCTAAACTAAAGTGTTACCATTTTAACAGTAGTGTGTTATTTGATATTACATTTAAAGGTAATATAATTTAAATGCACTAAATTGCAACTTCATAATTACAAATGTATTTAAATATGACATACAAATAGAAATGACATTAAAGTAAAAATAAAAATGCTTGTCGGCACATTCGGCAGCACATTTATATGAAATTACATATAAAGATGTACTGAAGTGGGTCAAAAAGCATTCTTAAGTTCAGCTAGCTGCATTTAATATACAAATTTAAACTTTAATACATTCTCATTTAATTATAAATAACATGAAATTAAGTGTCTGAAAACGTAACCTTCAATTCACACTTTAGTATATTGTTTTAAATGATATTATTTCTGTAATAAGCACTTTTTCTAAAAGAGTGCACTTCTTTTTTACAAGGGCGGTTGTGTCTTTTTGTACAGTCTGTGTAACAGGTTCACGGTGTTCTCCAGCTGATAAGTGTTGCACTGCATGCGTGTGTGAGAGAGCTGTATTTCACACAAAAAAAAAACACAAGATCTGGCTATACTTGAAATAATGACGAAGTGAAGAAAATGCAAAATGCATAACCAAACAGTTGACGGTATTGACTTCCATAGTGTGTGTGTGTGTGTGTTTTCTTCTTTTTCTTTTTTCTTTTTCATACTATGGAAGTCAATGGGGACCAACAACTTGAAGGTGAGTAAATGATAACAGATTTTTCATTTTTAGATGAACTTTCTCTTTAAGCTATATTTTTTAGCAAGCAACATAATACAGAATAATACAGAATTCTGTGGTAACACTTTAGATTAGGGAACACTATTCACTATTAACTAGTTGCTTATTAGCATGCATATTACTAGCATATTGGCTGTTTATTAGTACTTATAAAACACATGTTAATGTCTTATTCTGCATGAGCATATTTTAGATCCCTTATTCCGACTCCATACCTAAACTTAACAACTACTTTACTAACTATTAATAAGCAACAAATTAGGAGTTTATTGAGGGAAAACATAGTGAATGTGTTCCCTAATCTAAAGTTTCACCAATTCGGTGAAAATCAACAGCTCATGAATGTGCATATGTTTCCTCTCCAGCTCACAGACAGTGTGAATGTGTGTGAAGCACATAACAAAGCAGGGAAATTATTTTGTTAGACAAAGAACTATAGGAAACACGTCTTTCCCACAAGACTGAAATGCGCAGAACAAACAGAGGAGCGTGGAGTGGGATCTCCTCAGAGATGTTTGTTTGTATGAAACACCTCAGTCAGTCAATTGCAGCAGTGATCCTTCCCCCCTCATTCCAGATGACATCCTCCAAAATCCCACTGCAGCAACACGCTTAACCTTGGGAAGGGCTTGACCAGTGCAATGTTTTATTACACCGACACTCGTACACTCAACCTTCTCACCTGAGAACCAACACTGGCCAGCTGGACACAAAAGCAAAGGGACTGTATAATGACAACAAGCAGTTCACTAAAACCCATCATTAGCAAGGTTAACGACTGGCGCTGGTTAATGGAGCCGTGTTTTTTGCCCCAGTAGCTGAATCTTAAAGTAAGGGTTGCAAGGCACCTCTAATGCTTTGATTGATCTCCTAGTGGAATGGATGGATAATTTTAGTCACAGTTGTTCATTCAGGGAACTGGGACTGTGAATTGCATTAGCAATTCCTGAAACGAATGAAATGAGGGCGTTTGCTTTATGCGGCGTGGGACGATGGATGGTACGAGATAATCTCGGCTTGCCATCTCATCTCTCTTTTTCAGCCAAAAGCACTCATCTTTCATCACCGGGCCATGATTAGCATTCATTGGCCCAAAGGATCAGGTGCTCGCTTTGCTGCAAATGTGCAAAACGCTTCAGAGAGAGACGAAATGGTGCTTGGCAGCCAAAAAAATCAGCATTTTTTTTTCTGCAGATTTGCAACATGGTGAGAGAGATTCATTTGTACTGTTGGACTCACGGAAGGCCGTGTAGAGCTCCTGAAGGGTCAGGTGACCGTCGTTGTTGTAATCATCGTAACGCAGGAGGTCTTGCATGGTGCACTCCAATAAGATATTTTCCAAATGCTCCTTTATGGATATCTGTAAAAGAACAGGAAGAATTCAATTAAGTTACAGAGCTGGGTAGTAACTGATTACATGTAATCTGGATTCCAAAAATAAAGTACTCGTAATTAGAGTATATTACATTTTAAAATGCTAATAATCAGATTACAGTTACTTTTTATGAATTACATGATTACATATTCGCACAATGGCAGTAAATTATTCGTAATTTATTGATTCTCCCTAATTCGTCATTTTTGCTTTTAAATTTTCTTTTCTAAAAATGCTACTGTGTTTCATTGAGCTTGAACTAAATGTCGTGCAAATAAATATGCAATCCATGCTTCTGAATTTGGGCAGAAAAAGCACCTCTCAAGCTTTAAGACCATGTATAAAACAAATAATTATGCAAGTTACTGATAACTGTTGATTCTGGAAGTCAGGAAAAACAAATATTTCAGACCTGGAATACTTATGCGCATATAATGTCATTGCTGTTTTCATGTTTATTAATGTTTGTTCATATAGTGCAGGGATTCGCAAACATTTTTGTTAACTAAACCCCTTAAAATAAAATACTTACTTGAAATATCTCTGAGGAAGTTAATATTCCAATAATTTAACAATTCGCTTGTTTACAGTTCTCTGATGTCAGTTAATGTTAGTCACATTGACATGCAGGTAAACAAATAAAATATTTCTATTTTTAGTGTTCAAGTGTTTAAATTAGTTTTATTTTACATTTTTATGATTCAATTCATTTTTAGTTTTATTTCATCTCACAACCCCACTGCAGTTCTTACATTAAGCACAGCTTGGGAAACCCTGGTGTAATGTAATGTTTAATGCATTTTATGATGTTGATATCAAAAATGGAATGTGTTTTCTTTCTCTTTGCTTTTTTTGTTTGATAAAGTTTGATTGAAAAAAGTAATCTAAAAGTAATCTAAAAAGTAGACATAATACAAATGAGTAACCTAGATTATAGGGTAACTCTTTATTTCGATAGTCCACTTCAGACATTCTATTAACAGTAAGTAACTTTGCAACTACATGTCAATTAGCCGTTAGTAGAGTATTAGTAGGCTGTCTGCTTAATATCTTCTAACACTTTCTTTGTCAACATTCTACTAACCCTAAACCTACCCTAACAGTCTACTCTGAGAGTTAGTAGACATGTAGTTGCAAATTAATGAGAATTAGTTGACATGTAGTTGACATGTAGTTACAAAGTTACTTATAGTTAATAAAATGTCTAAAGTGGACTATCGAAATAAAGTGTAACCAATTACAGTTTTCAACATGTAATCTGTAATCAGTAATGGACAACAATCTACCCAGCACTGGTTACATAACATTATTTACAGGTATGATGAAACTCTTGTCTCATACCACGACATTTCTGTTCTTGATACAGATTGGTTGACACACGTTATATGGGTGTTAAAGAAAGAGTTCACCCTAAAATGAAAGACCTGTCAGTATTAGTTCATCCTCATATCATTCTGAACCAGTGTGCTGTCCAGATTTCAATAATGGCAAAAAACCGAGTCAGCAGAACCTGAATTGGGTTAAACATGAGTTTCAGTGGAGGGGAGGATAATGAAACCGGTGCTACTTTCAGTCTCTCATACTCTTAATTATCTGTATTGAAAAAGAAATCAGAGGATTTTTGTATTAATATACTGTAATATTGCAACAGTGTTCATTTTCTTCCCTTGTGAAAAAGTAGTACATATTAGCATACTTTTATTAAGAGTCCTTATTACAGATAAAAACCTAATAAAAAAACAATTCACCCTACTTAAGGAGCAGTTCACCCGAAAATTGTAATTTTGCAGAACATTTACTCACCCTTAGGCCACAAGATGTAGAACACCTTAATGATGGATTTGTTTCTTACAAACACCCAGATTTTGTATTCTCAAGACATTAATTTATGAACTGGAGTGGTGTGGATTACTTGTGGATTATTGTGATGTTTTTATCAGCTGTTTGGACTCTCATTCTGACGGCACCCATTCACTGCAGAGCATCCATTGCTGAGACACTGATGCAATGCTACATTTCTCCAAATCTGATGAAGAAACAAACTCATCTACATTGAGTGGCCCGAGGATGAGCACATTTTCATTTTTTCATTTAATTTTTTGATGAACTACTCCCATGAACATGTGTGAACTGACTGAAATGTTTTTGAAAACTTAATTGCATGTTATTTAAATTTAAATTAAAGTATACTAGTTTAAATGTATGTTTATTAAAGTATATTAAATGCAATTAGTTGAACTTAAGAGTTTTTTTTAACAAGCATTAATGGTACAACTGAAATATACTTATACATATTTCAATAGAAATGACATTAGTCATGTATTTTAATATATTTTTAATTAAACATTTGAAATTATGAAGTGGCAATTCAGGACACTTAATATATATTAACTTGTAATATGTAATATCAAATAACACACTTCAGTTAAAATTATAATCAAATACATTACATGTGCTTCAGTATGTTAGTCAACACATCAAAACAAGAGTACTTCTTTAAAGCATGACAAAAGATGATTAAAACGGAATGATAAAAAAGAAATAAAAGAAAATGAAAATGTAAATATTAGCACTGTATTTTTAAGTGTACTATAAAATAATTGTATTTTTAATACTTTATATTTTAAAATATAGTATTATCACACTTTGTTTATTTATTATAAAAAAAATAAAGTGCAATAATACTATTATTTATTTTTTTATTTTTAAGTGTGCAGTGTGAACACCAAACCAAATCTGAAAATTTTTTGTGAGCCCCTGGACATTTTTACATAGGGTCTGAAAAAAAAAAAAAAAAAATCTCTCTGAAATATTTCCTAATATTCAACATGATATTCAGGATAATGTGCATTCCGGCAGTCATTATAGCAAAGCGGAGTAAAGTGAAATGACCAGCTGAAAGTACACTATTCCTTGCTTATTTTGCTCCATATCTTCTTGAACTGCAATGTCATGGGTCCCCTCACCTCTGCCAGCTCCTCACTGCTCAGACGGCCATCCTGGTTTCTGTCTATATACTTGAACATTGTGTCCACCAGGATCTTCCTCTGGTCCATGGCATTTGCTTGCCCGTCCGTGGAGGTCCTGGGTTGCATGTCCAGCAGCATGCTCTTCAGCTTGTTGTACTCCGCCATGGTGCACGTGTTGCCTGTAAAGCCACACCAGAGGAATTTAATTAGCTGGATATAACCAAAGGCAATGAGGAGCCCATTTGCATTTATGCATGGATGCTTGTTTGCGATTTGCATTTTTGGACAGTCGTTCAGCGCAGGGGTCTCAATTAATTCACTGTAATCCTGTGATTTACACTGAAAGACAAAAGGTAAACATTCTCATTTAGACACTCTAGCTGTATCACAGCTTCTTTCTGCAGTGAGGGATTAGCAAGCATGTTTTAAACTGTCACATTAATTCCCATGTGGCTCCGCAGCACTTATGTCTATAAAAGATGGTGGGGAAAATTAGAACCATGATTAATCAAGTGTGGTAGATTCCTTACTGGCAATAAAATTATGCAAACACAGCCCACCCGCTGAGCCGTTCTTTAAGACCCCTCGAGTGGGAGGAAGATTGTTTCTTGTATCCGGCATGGAGGCAGCGCAGAAGTGTATAAAAAGCTCTGCTCAACTGATGAGAAGAGGAAATATAGTATGAATAAGTCATTAGGTGACACTCCTCTACATGACGAATCAGAGCCTCACGCTGGAGTCTCACTACATCTATGAAGAAAACAACAGTCAACAGTAACTGGCGCTGACCCACACAGTGGAAACTGAATAATCTCAAACAAACATCAGGATGACAAGGTTGTGCTTCATTGACCACATACACACTGTAAAGTTTCAGGAGTGACCCCGCATTTAAATACAGGAGTGAATCCCTTAAATTACAGTTTCATGTGACTGACAGCATTGTTCATTGGCCTGTTTTTTACTACTCAGAGGTGACTGGGGCTCCCAAGGGAAACTCCATATGTTAGTATCTACGTAACGCTGAAAGTGACTGACTGAATGGGAACTACTGTTAGGAACCTGTGACATATACGGATGGGCAGTAATAAAAGTTTAAAAGAAAAACTAGTGCAAAAATTTTATTTTGATATACAAAGTTAATAAGACTGCTGTAAAATGTAGAATACTGTTGCTAAACTGCGGGATGAGCTTGATATTAAGAAGCTTAAGCCGTGAAAGAGAACTCAATTAGGTTCTCACACGCTGTTTGACAAAGCTTTCTGTGCGCACACACTGAGACAGAGAGAAACACGGACAAGTGAAGTATACTTTAGGCTTAACTCGGTCAGATACACACAAAAACATGACAATATGCCCATCATATGAACTGTTGTGATGGCATGGTTGAAGGAGCTAAGTAAAATTTGATGTGCTTACAGAAATAAATACTCTCACATGGCCACAGGGCCTAAAACTAACATTTTGCAACACCTGCCAATGGGCAGTGAGTTTGACCAGCCATAAATACTTTTTTATCAGCCATAAAACTATATGTGCATTCTTTCTTTAAAATGCAATCATTATTATTATGACAATTATTATTTAAACTAATCAATAAAGAAAGTATTTCATAATAAACATTTCAATTACTACTACTACTACTACTAATTATTATTGTTATTATTATTAATATTATTATATAAGAACAGTACAATTACCATACCATGGAATTACGATGTTACCATGTTTTTCTTAGAGCTCATAGAGCTTTTATTTAGGCAGAAAAGCTCAAGGAAACATCTCTTTTGAAATGCTTCGCTTTTGCTGGCAGCAGATTTATAAATTATTCTCATTACAAACTTGGGAAGATGATTGGCGTATGATGCATTTTCAGATGCACGAAACGAAAATGCTATTATCTTAAGTGGCTCACACAAAAAAAAAAATATATATATATATCATAGCGCTTCACTCTGAAACATCAGATTACATATTTTTATAAATTACAATGCAGTTGCACTAAGCCATATAGCTTTCTCAAGCATTGTTAGAATTAATAAAAAAGTTTCATTTACTCGCCAATGCTGATTTTTACTCCAGTTTGGTGCTTGCCGAGTGTTAATTTTAGGCCCTGCATGACCTTAAATGTGTGACTAATTCTCTTATCTCATAAAGCATTTTCATTTCATGGTTACACACTAACATATCTGTAGATATTTGTTATTGAAACTACATCAGCTACAGTCATATTAGAGCTTATTCTTTGTCATTATGGGGGAAATTATTCTGTTATGGCATTTAAAGAAGTTTTCCTGCAGCACACATTTGTACAGTACATAACCTCAATGTCAATCCTGTCTGTTAACATGACATCAAGGTCATCTCCATACACAAACCTGCTCTTTTTACCCACAATCCCGCCCTGATCAATCACTGACGACTCTGACAGGAAGGTGTTCCGTTTGGTACTTTTCAAACATGGTAATGAAGTACATCTATCACTCGAGTGCTAACGGAAAGGTCAGTGCTGAAACCTACAAATTGTTATGACATGCCATAAATCTGAGTTAATCCTCAAATATCTCTTTTTTTTCTTAAGCAGGTCTCTTATCGAATTGCTCCTCTTCTTTTTCACTTTCACACACACACACACACACACACACACACAAATATCTACCATGAAGCACATTTCAGAGAGAGCAATCATATTGGTTCATGACTTACATCGCATTGCAATATTGGATAAAAATTTGTGTTTGTTTGAATGTATGAATGTTCATGAATGTATAAACTCACCTAAATTTTAAGGTTAAACAGCACAGTCAAATCACAAGGCTGAGCAGACGCTACAATGGCATGTTGACAGAGAACCAGTTTGAAACATTGAACCTCTGGAAATTCAGTGCTCTATTAGGTTCAGTCAGATCCGTTTCTCTTCATCTCTGATATTAAGAGATATCTCTGTTGCTACCCAGCGGCCTTTAGACCATCCAGAACGAGAGATCGCAAGCTTGTCTGATTTCTCTGGAGCTTTAGAAGCCGCGTCTTCTGACCTTTAACTAATTTTTGTTTACACCTCTTTTCTACCAAGAAAGAAAAGTTCATTGGCATTTTGCGTGACTAATGAAGTCTTGATAGGAATGTAAAGATGTGTTATCTGATCAAACAGCAGATTTCACAGTGCGGTCAGTGTTTGAGAGTGTTTGAGCAGCCGTACGGGACGCTCGTGAAGCCATGCTGTGATGAATAACTGATCAGTGATGTTCAGTACATCCACGACTATATATGAATGCATGGACATGCATTATCAATCAGTTATGGTGAATACATTGAACAAAATCTACATAAACCCAATTCATACTCATAAATAAGCTCACTTATGATTATGTAAATTCACTGATTCAAACATATGACAAGCCATTTAACATTTAATTCTTAAAATGCATCTATTTTCATCTATTTTCTAGTACTTATTTCTTAGCTATTCTATTACTTACTAGTATTTATAAATTAGCTACTAGTGCCGTTTCCTGTTTAAACTTCAACTTTTAGTACTTATTTCTTTGCTACTGTCATAGTTATGTTCCGATCATGGACTTTTAGTTTGTTTTCTTCCCTCATGTTTCACTTGACCTAGTTTCTGTCGTCCTTTGATTGGTTCATTTAGTTCACCTGTGTTAGTTAATTATCTGTGTATTTAAGTTCTTCTGTTTCTCCTTTAGTTGGTCCGGTGTTGATGTTGTTTTGCTGCGTGTTCCCTTCGCCTTCATGAATTATCATCTTCGTGGATTCTATTAAACTCTTGTGTAGATGACCTTCGTCTTTGTGTGCCTTTCCTCTACATGTAGCGTTACAGCTACTAGTATCTATTCTATTAGGTACACGTATTTAATCATTAGCTACTAGTGCTTATTCCTTAGGTACTAGAAACTTTTTAAAGGTATTAGTACTTGTTAATTAGATACTAGTTCTTTTTATTAGAGATTAATACTTGCTCATTAGATATTATTATCTTTTCATTAGAAACTAGCTTTTATTCAATAGATATAGTAGCTATTCATTAGGTACTTGTGTTTTTTTTATTAGACAGTAGTATATTTTGTCATTGTTGCTAATAATTCTTATCTTACTAGTCACAACTGTTTACTAGTGCGAATAGGGTAGCACTTTACAACAAGGTTTATTAGTTAACATTACTTAATGCATTAACTAATATTAACTAACAATGAGCAATACAGTTGTTACAGTATTTATTAATCTTTGTTTATATTAAAAATGCAACTGTTCATTGTAGTTCATGTTAGCTCAGGTCCATTAATTAATATTAACAGATATAACTTTTTAATAATGTAATAGTACATGTTTCAGTTAATATGAACTGAGATTAATAAATGCTTTACAAGTATTTTTTTTTATTGTTAGTTCATGTGGAACCTTTTTGTAAAACGTTACCCAGAAAAAAACCCCCCAAAAAACACTGTAGAGTTCAATTTAAAATGTTACTAGTAAAATAAAAACTTACTAATATCTAATAAATGTTTACTAGTATCTGTTCAGTACATACTACTAGCTAATCAATAAGTACTATATGTAATGAATAAGCAGTGGTATCTAATAATAAGAACTATATGAATAAATACTATTATCTATAAGTATGAGTATCAAATGAATAAGTACTATCTAATCATTTAAGTACTAGTATAATAATAGGTATACTAATATCTATTTAAGAGGTACTAATCTCTAATAAATGAGTACAAGTATCTAATAAATAAGAACTAGTATCTAATGAATAAGTACTATCTAATAAATATGTATTAGTATCTATTTAATAGGTTCTAATATCTAATGAATGAGTACCAGTATCTAATGAATAAGAACCAGTATCTTATGAAAAGGTACCTAAAATATAAGCACCAGTAGAAAATTAATAAGTACTATTATTTAATGGAATAGATATACTAGTAGCAAAAAAGTAAGTACTAGTAGCACAACATAGAACCAGCTGCATTGAGATGGTAGATTTAATGAATCAAAATCCTTCAAATTCTTCATATCATGTAAGGACACAATAATAATGTGCTGTCGTTACCTTGAGGAGCTATTACTACCTGATTTGCCGTTAATGACTTTCATTGCTGCAACCCAATGTAGTCAGGCTGATTCAGTCACATTAAAATCATATTTTTGACTTGAA